GTCCTCTTCCGCCTTCTTCTCATAGGCAGCCAGTGCCTCTTGCCACCTTCCGAGTCTCTCGTACCATTCCTCGTGTTTACTAACGTCGTATTGTTCTTTTGCGATGACGAGCGTACCCCAGGCTGCGTCGTGCTGCTGCAGCTTAGTATTTATACCAATCAGTGCTTCGATGATATTCGGCGATGTTTCGGTGAAAAATTCCAACTCCTTGTAGTGTAGCGCTTTTGCGTATGCGTGGAACCTCATGGCGTACTCCCCAAGAGTACGATGTTCTATGGGGAGTGGCTTTCTCCTCGTGTTCCATGAATTCTGCGAGACTGAGCAACCGATGGATCAGGTCGGACGGTGCAGTAGGAGAAGTTATCGCAGCTTCAATGGAGCGCACAAGTCCCTCCTAAGGAAGTCGTCATTGTTTATGAACATAAGGGAACAACCATCACGCTTACTTGATATTGGTCATACAACTCCGTCCAGCAAGAGATAAAAGCGGCATTAAAAAGTTCCTTCGCAAGGGGTGGATGGAATTCGACCAAGCTCATGCAAGCTCTAAGGGCATGGGATGGCGACTCTTTCATGAATTCTACGGAGAGGCGGTGCATCCACTCTGTCCAATCTTCTCGCGTAGAGACAGAGGATACGTCCCAGGCTTGTTTCAGATGTTGTTGATTGACCGTCAGCTTGGCTGGTTCGGCGGGTGCCGAGATTTCAGCAACTCTCGAGTTCTCCAACAAATCATGAATGCCAGACTCCTGGGGTAAGCGTTCACCGTTCAAAAGCTTGGTGATAAAATTTTCATACCGCGGGTGGTGTATGCGGTTTCGGAGCAAGCACTACGAACCTTCAAGTCCCGCACAAACCAACACGGTTGGGAAAACGTACCTTGTTGATCATGGGGACGAAAATAGCGAAATCCGACCCAAGCTGGACGACGATAGCACACAGCGTATCCATAACCGCCATCCGGAGCTCGTTATTCTGCCCATCAAGAACTCGAACAAGGGGATGTACAATTCGGGATGCATGATCTGAGAAGTTAACACGTTGGGATAGATGAGCCACCGTCTGAATCGCGCGTTTGCGGAGGATGGTTGTCGCATCTAGCCTCTCTGCAGCCTTGACAATGATCGGAATGATAAGGTGCAAATATTCTTCGATATTAGCGCCAAAGGTTAGGAACGAGTCGAATATTTTGATTTGCGTGGTCATTCTCTTCTCGGTGAGTTCTCCTTCAAAAACTTTGAGAAGAAGTGGCAGGATGGAGGGTAGGAAAGGTCTAAACTCGGCATCTAACGCCTTCCCTAGGGCTTCGACAAGAGAGACAATAGGGAGTTGGAGTGAAGTGTTGTCCCAAAGGTCGGTCACGAGCTTCCATATCTCGGGTGTGTAGTTCCGTACATGTTGTTTGATAATTCCAACCAAGATTGCAAGTTGTTGGAGGTGGAACTCCTGCAGACGGGCGGTGGATGTGCGTGCAACGGCAGCAAACGCCGGGATGATCTAAGAGCGATGTCAACTCGAATCTTGTGTCGGATGTCAGCGATCAATACCTGTGGTAGGAAAGTGACACATTTCAAGCCCTGGGTCTTGAATATATTCATGATCGCTTCAATGACAGTGTGATGGTGGTTGCTTGTAGATTGATCCCTCAAGACGGCCAAGAGTGACGTGATGACCACTGTCTGGTAGTAGTCGTCGGAACCTGTCAAGGAGCCAGGGGTGGTAATGGCAACTGTATTGACAGCCGGGAGGGTCCCCTCAGCGGCTCCATCTTCATCTGGCTTTGTCTGCACGAGATTTAAGGGGAGCGATCTATGCGGGTCATGCGCCTTACCTTTCGCCTGTAGGGGTCAAGCGCGCCAAGGATGCCCAAGACCTTGACAACTTCTCTGACGACCTCACGACGAGATGAACCAGACTCCGTCCTCAGAATTCTTCCGAGAATTGGGAGAAGTTGAGGGTAATCAATCAAGGGAGAAATAACGTAACCTGTGCTTGAACAAAGCTGACCCAGAGTGCGCAAGGCAGCGTCTCTCTTGGCGTGCGCTGGATCTTGTAATCTAGAAATAATGACATGCATTAGTTCTGGAATGTGGGGAGTAACATCCTCGCCTCCCACAGCGGCGAGTTCTCCGAGACACATCAGAACATTAGCAGCCACAGCTGGGTTGCTATCGTTGGCCTTTGGGACAAGCACGCGGAGAATGGGAAGGGCGTATGGTCTGATGAGCCTTTGGGTGGCACTGACGAGTAAGGTGAGAAGACGAGTGCAGTCTTCGCGGTTGCGTCTGGAGAGACGTGAGGTGGAGGAAAGGAAATTGGGGAGATACGCACGTGACAGTGGCATACTCAAGCTCAGTGAGGAGTTGTATGAGCGTTTTGCGGAGAGAAGGCATGACATATGCAGGGTTGTGTTTGGCGAGACGGCCGATTAGGCCGACGGCAGTGACGCGGTTCTCAAAGACCTCATCATTGAGAGAGATGAAAATAGACCGCACATTCTCCGCTTGTGCGAGATGTTTGTCAAACCGTTCATGCAGTGAGGATAGCACTGTCTGTCGGATACTGGGGTCTACAAAACAAGGACCTCAGCAAAATGACGTGTTTCAGAACAGTCGAAGTGCTCACCCGGATCCGCAATGCCGACAGTGAGCAATTTATCGAGTACATCACTGATGATTTCGATGGCATGACTGCTTGCCTGGTAGCAGATCGGATCCCGCACAAATAACTTGCAGCATGTCAGCGCACCCGCCCGTCGTACGTCCGCGTTGTCGTCTTCCAGATACGGTAGCGCTGCACTTCGAACGAACTCATTTAACACGTGTCCTACGCAGCTCTCAGTTCACGTTCAAACGCTCCATCCAAGCCTCTTACCGCTGAAGTCGAAGGATCCTAGCGTCGAGAGCGCAAGTGTGACCAACTCCGGATTCTTTCCCGCCTTCGTAGCGGAAAAGTCACGTGGATGAGCTACCACATCGCTCCGCGCCAGCGACGACGGCGCACCGATAACCTTGTACGATTGACCGATCAGGATCGTCGAGAGCAGGTCCAACAACCGATCTTGGATGGTCTTTAATAAGGGTGGAATATTTCTCGCAATCGCCACTAGCGCTTGTCGCAGTGGCTCGCTCAGTCCACATGCAAAGAAGAGGTCTAGCTGATCATGTAACAGCTTCGTTAGGTTCGGTCCAACAGCCGACGCCAGCATCCCGACACATTGGAAAATTGGCTCTTCCGAAGGTGCATTCTTCTTCCTGTGAACAGTGAACAGTAGCAACGCAACCGACGTGATGTACGCACCCTCTTTGTTGCAGTCCAAGTTTGATCTGAACCGTAATGGAGTCGAGGAAAGGCTTCATATCACTTCCTACCGCAGTTGCAGTGTGTCCGATAGCAATAAAGGCTGTCATCTAGTGAGCAAACCTGATGGAGCTGTAGCACAAGAATGACATACCGAAAGATCGCTCATTGGGTTTCTCAAGTTGTGTGAGAAGATGTCCCATCGACTTATGCAAGTAATGCTCAGAGAATGTTTGGGTGTCGTATGCTGCAAGAGTGGGTATTAATGTGATAACCATCTTGCGCACCAGACTGTCCCTGTGCGATTTGAAACGGAGGATCTGCTCTGCTGTGTCTAGGAAGGACTCCCGCATAAACTACCAGCCAACAAATCAATTCCTCATCCTCTATCACGAATGACGCTGAGACTACACTCACGATATCCCCATGAAGCAACAATTCACGATACATGAGCAAGGATCCGTGAATCACTTCAGGTTGTGCCATCTTCAGCCCAAGCTGAGCATCCTGAAGAATCTTCATGAGATAGGCTGTGCGCGTCTGCCGCTCTCTGTTTGCCACAATCTCCAGACATGCCGCCAATAGCTCCGCAGCGCCTTCCCGAACCATGACACGGGAGTCACGAAGCGGTATAAGAATCTTGTCGAAAACAAGGCTGATGTGGGAATGAAAATAGGTCGCGCTATTACGCGCTAATTCCTTCAAGATGAGGACTCCAGCGTAACGCGGTGGCTCTGGACCCTGCAAAAGCTCTACAGCCGCTGGCACTTCAAGATCCATGAACCCTTCCCCAAAGTCGGTGCCACCGATTGCAGCTATCTGCCCCAGAGTCTTTGAGGCAGCCAACATGATGTTGACGTCGTGATTTGGAAGGAGTTGCTTCACATAGTTGTAGAACCTGTAGAGGTATCGCTTTGATCCAACTATGTCTTCCCCATCGTTCTCCAAGAGATGGTCTGTAGGATTTGAGATAAAAACCAGGACGGACAAGCAGAACACAAGCGAACCAATTGCTAACAATCCTCCCAGTCTCTCCACATTGTTCTGACTGTGCATGAGGTCGAATATTCGCTTATTGATGTCGTCGTCCCATAGCTTCACTGCAGCGTCGTTGGGCATTTCAACCACAGTAGTGGCGACCTACATGAATTCAACAAGGTAGCCAGATCGCGCACGTCAGATACGCACATAGCGACGCAAGTCGACCGCGGCTTGAACTCGGGCCTCGTGACTGGGATTCCTGAGACCTTGAATATCTGACTAAGGTTATCTGTATGAATAGAAGCAAGAGTTGACGTCATGCTCGTCGCCGATGTAGATACTGGGCAGTGGCGCTGCCTTGAATGAGTTTACAAATGAGCAACGTTACCCAAACGGAACTATCAGGATTTGGTTGTTTGCACTTGTTGAATTCTAAGGCTCCAGAATCCGTTTTTGGTAAGACACCACCACCGCCTGATTTCCTGGATGCGATTTCGCAGATCATCGATCAGTGATCAGGGCAGTGGAAAGTGAACTGAAGCCGGATTTATAAACCAAGCGGACATGGACGGGAAGGGTGTATGCTATTACAAATCCCCTTATTTGTGGTGTAATGTCCGGATCGCCCAGGGTCTGGAGACTCTGGAACCGATAAATAGCGGATAATTCTTAGAAGAGGTTATATTTGCCACGTTGGTCCCACGAAGAACACGCATAACGGCCTGGTGGTCTAGTAGTATGATTCCTTGTTAGGGTTGGCACCATATTCGAGGAGGTCCCGGGTTCAATTCCCGGCCAGGCCCGTGGGATGTTTTGCTGTCTGATGGGAGAGCATCTTTTTCGCACATTTGCCAACTTTTTTCATCTGGAACTCCGCTTGTAACCGGACTCGATATGTGCAGAAGACGCCGACATCGCAGGAAATGATGTGGCAGCGGAATGTGCCAGAAGCAAATCAGTTGCGAAGAATGCTGATGTCAAGCGATAAATCGATAGAGGTCGATTGATTTACCCATTGACAGGCGTATACTATCTCTTTCCACGTCACGGCGACTTTGCAAACGTTCTGGATTCCACTGGGTCAATGCGAGTCATGAAGGACACATCATGCTGGCAGTTTCTATCGAAGCGACTGTCCCTTAATGAAGTATTCCGATCCCAGGGCACTTGAGACGGCATCGCGCGAGTGCTGCCCCATTTTCTTTGGTGAAACACCGGCTGGCAGCTACGCCTAATCTGTGGCACTTAGCGTTTCTCATGACACGGAGTGGCGAAACCGGCAACAAGGCTAGGTCGGGATAATTAAAGAGGACGCGGCCGGACAATTGGCTAGTGGATCCGTGGTAGGATGACGAGCCAATCTGGATGTGCTTATATAATTCCGAATATTGCGGAACTCGGATCACGCGTCTACTCCGCGTCCGATAAACAACGGGTGTGGTTTAACGGCGCAGACGCCCGGAATGCTGATAAACGCTATTTTTCCATGTGACGGTCCCTGTCCTCGCTTCTCCCCTTCACACCACCATTCCCATAATGCTTGTCCCACCGCTCGATGTTCACGGCCACGCATGCTGTCTCTCCCTTAAGCGTCTCTTCACCTCCTCCACATCCTCTCCGAAGCCGACCCCTCCTCGTGACGTGTCCTGTCAAACGTCTGGACCCTGTTACCATCGTGTGTATCACCCTTTATCGAATACCCACTGTGCTCACCACCTTGCTTCCACGTCATCAGGCTCCCTATGACGATATTCCCATATCCTTTGAATCTTGTTGTGATTTCTCCTCCAGTCCAACCACGCAGAGCTTTGATCCTCCCCCCACTTACTGCGGAACCCTCCCCCGCTTCGACCCAAAGCATGAGTTCATGACGACCATCGCTACGACGATCGACACTATTGATGTCGCCCTGAGATCTCTGAGTCTCCGCATCCACGGTAGGTAAGTATGGACATGAGAAAGCAACGCTTGCCGACGTTTCGCCGCAGATCACCCTGAGCTCATGTTTGAGGAACAGTGCGTAATTATCATCGTATTATCGTACTGATATAACCCTTCGATCAGATATGCCCATGATACACTCACAGACTTTATGGAGAGTCACGGTTTTGCCATCACTAGGCACTATCTCGGTCTCCAAACTGCCTGGCGGGCAGAGTTCACCCACGGTAAGGGTGGGAGGACCATAGGTGTAAACGCCGAGATGGATGCATTGCCTCTGATTGGGCATGCCTGCGGCCATAATCTGATCGCAGTGAGCGGCGTGGGGGTGGCCATCGCGATAAAATCCGCACTGTTGGCACATAACCTCGCTGGGAAAGTCGTTCTACTGGGAACACCCGGTGAGTTTAGATTCGTGGAAGCATACGGCGTAACCAAAAGTATAAAATCCGATCAGGCGAAGAAAGTGGTGGTGGAAAAATTATCTTGCTTGAACGCGGCGGCTATGATGGGATGCACGTCTGCCTCATGTGAGTCATGTCCGTAACGACTTGTGGGGGTGAGAATGTCACTCCTTGTGTTTTACAGGTGTCACCCATCCGCTGGTCCTCCCAATTCCTTGTCTACCGGATCATGTCTAGCAATGCAATCAATTAACGTTGAGTTTTTTGGACAATCGTGAGTAAAATATATAGGGCTTTGTCGTATATTTATGAGGGAAAATAGCGCTCACGCCGGAAATGCGCCATGGGAAGGCGCGAATGCTTTAGATGCTGCGTTTCTCGCGTACTCGAATGTCTCCGTGCTCCGCCAGCAAATGAAACCGGACCATAGAGTCACCGGGGTCATTCAAGGTTGCAAAGGAGCGCCGAACGGTAGGTCGTCGCCACAAATCCGAAGGATGAACGTGCCTTGATTTTATTAGTGATACCTGATTACGCGCACATGCACTGGCTCCTCCGTGCACCAGACCGCGATCAGTTACAACATCTGCGGAAGCGGGTGGAGGCGTGTTTCAAGTGAGGCTCGCGACTTGATTTATAACTAGGGTTTTTGATCGATTTTAGCGGAGCGGTTACTGCCACAGGGTGCCGTCTCAAGATTACCGAGGGCAAACCTTACTACGATTTGCGGCAGAACGCTGTCTTGGGTACGTCCCTGGTTCCCCACCTCTAGATAACGCTTCAGCGTTGTACCCAGGGAGATACTTCGCGCAAACAATGGGTAATTATTTTGGAATGAACACCCAAAAAGCTCCGTTTGGAGCTTCCACAGACTTCGTACGTTTTCTAAGCCCTCCGCTCGTCCCGGATGAAAGTTTCGAATTGTTCGAGTGACTAACCACGACTTCCCTTTAGGGTAACGTCTCTTACGGCAAGTGCATCACCTGCGGCAACACCCTAGTTATTCTAATTATCACATGATATGTTTCAGAGCTGCCATCTCTTCATCCCGCTTTCGGTGCGCTACAAGTTCCGACGTGACTTGTATGGGTGTGGCCAGCTAATCTTGATCCCTTCGCCTAATAGCGATCCCAACGGAACCGAACGGGGGGAACCACACGCCAGCGTTTGCAATCTCTGCACGCAGCATCGAGGCCCACAACGCCTGCATGACAGTCACCAAGGGCCTCGCGTGGACAGGATTTCTTGTTCTCGCTGACGACGAATTCTACGCTGAGGTGGGTTACTTAATACCAGGTGCTCCTTGGGAGATACCAATGTTGTTTTCTGGACAGGTAAGAAACGAATATCAACGAACTGCGGGCGCACGCAGCGCCTGGTGAACCATGTGCTTCGTGTTGGCGTATCTTATTTTTCATCATGCTGTAACAATAGTTCTCAATACCCTATCAAAAAAAAAAAAAAAAAAAAAAAAAAACAAGTTTCGGTATTGTTCTATCTTCTGGCGATGATTTCGGAACACGTGTAGATTAGAATTGGAATTGCGTAAGTCAAAGAAACTGACATATATCCAGTATGAAATATAAAAGAAACTCGGTATCATGTCTTATGAAGTCGAGGAGAAGCCTCGGCGTCTTCTTCATCCGCAGGTTCCTTGGGTGGCGTATGTTTGCCGTCTCTCCGTGCTCTTGCTTGGGCACGCAGTTGCTGGTGCTTCGACTTGCCAGTGGCAGCTTCGGCAACCATCCTGATCATAGATGGAAAACATCAGGTTTGTCCAGTAAATACCGTTATTTCGTTATACGTACCGCTCAAGTTCTCGACGATCCTCGTCAGAGTCATCCGGTACTGTATTTTTGAAGATGTGGCCGATAATCAAGAGACCCTTCCCGTGCTGTGTAAGCCGCCATAAAACCGCGATTTCACTTGTCAGCATACCTTGGCCCTGTTAACAAGTACTTGATCGGAAACATCGCGGTCTTTCAGGACATTATCCACGACCTGATCAAGGTTAATCAGGTCATCAAACGCGAAAATTTATTTCCAGGAGAGAAATGATTTACCTCTCGTAACACTTGCACGACTTCAAACCGAGTCCCCCGCCAGGAAGCAAGTAAGATCTAGTGCAAGTTTCTATTAGTTGCACACTGAGGTATGATACGAACTACGTACCTTCCCAGTCATGTCTGCTTCCATTGCATGTAGTATTTCTTCAGTCGCTTCACCTTTGGCCTGTAACCTCTCCATCTCTTGCATAAGAGACTGAACGCTAAGTCTGAATAGCAATCGTCATCAGATCTGGGGATCTCTTATGGATTGTACTTGAAAGAAACTTACGCGCTCCCAATGACACCCCATGCGTCCTTTGCAACCGATCCTTTTTCCTTCATCCGAGACCAGAAACCTCCGCTGGAACGTTGTGAACCTTGAAAGAAGAATATCATATCGCAAAGACTCACAACCCAAGGAACCTCTTCGACTTTAGGAACGAAGTCGCTTTCATGCTGTAGACGGTACCAATGGCGTGTAGCAACTGAACAGTGCTCATGGATTGGAACACGCGTAACACCTAACAAGGGAACATTGGCTCACCTCAACACCAAAGCTCTCTAGTTTCAAATCCTCGGCCTCTAGTTTAATCTTATCGTGGAACGTTTTGGTTTCTGCATCATCTTTCTCTCCGGGCCGTTTAGCCTCGACAAACGGCCTGAGACGTTCGACCAACTTCGTAGTCAGTGTTTTCACACGTTCTTCCAAGGCCTTCTTTCGTTCTTCGTCGAGTTCATGCAATTTCTTCCTTTGCTCTGGCGTCAACTTATTGCGTCTTCTAGAGGCTGTATGCAGATCCTTGTCTTTCTCCTGCAAAGGGGACGTGGGAGCGCTCTTTGAAAAACCCTTGGACGAAGATGGGTCGGGTGACGATGTGCGTTTGGACATATCCTCGCTACTAGCTGAGGCTTTGAGGACGATTGCAGATGTGTCGAGAGAACGGGGTGCTTGAGCGGATTCCGCAGGAGTCGTGGGTCGCGTAGGAGCTTTTTCCCGAGCAGGCGTAGCGGGTGGAATGATGCCTTCTTTCTCTAGTTCTTCGCGCTCCTCGTCGGTCGCCATGGTCTGTGCTACAGTGGTCATTTCCTTCATCAGGGATATTTCCCCGATCTAGCATTCGTTGAGATAATCGCGTAACATAACCTCGAGGAACGGGAGAACGCACATAGTGTTGGAATCGTTCGCCGCCAAAGACATTGGCGAAGAACATGGCAGCGTCCTCCATCTCGTGGGTTTCCTTGTCCGCCTGTCCGCAGTGCGCTCTTCAATGCACCATCGCGAATCCCGTGAAAGACGAGACCTACCATCGACTTTCCATTCTTATCGTATATGGCGCGAAGATTCTGTCCGGAGAAGTATCAGCTCTTCGTGTCCCAGAGGAGACAGCAAATCACCGCCTACAGGATCGG